ATGCTTTTTTTCTCTCTTATTTATTAAACTATTCTACATTAGGAGCACTTAGCTCATCAAAAATGTTTTAAAATTTCTCTAAGTGACAAAAGCATAAATCTAAGAGCAATTTGTCACTTTTATAAGCTCAGAAAATACCAAACTGATTTCCTCATAAAGATACTGTCATCAGTTAAATGGATAAACTATTAGGTTACAAATAAAAAACACCCACACTTAAGAGTCTACTGATGTGCAAGTTGTTTACAGCCATAACTGGACTGATGGCTTTTAGTCATGACACCATAAACACCAATGTTAGGCTTGTGTGTTTTTCAAGCTATGATCCAGAAAGATTCAGTCATAGACTGTGTATGTCCACAGTACATGTGAGTTGGCAGGGGCAGAATGTATGTCAAGGCCAAGTTGTGGTGGTGCAGGTTATGTACTGAGCAACTCCAGGGGACATGATTTACTTAGAGAGGATATAAATGATCTCTCCTGAAGTTATGCAAAAGTGTCTCTGGATGTACCCAACTTAGGTAGCTCAGGACCTGTCACATCTGTTGTTCTGATACCCTCACTTCTGCATCAGTTAAAAGATCTTTCCCCATTTGTCCATTTTTCATTTTGGGATTTCAGGTCAGTTTTAAATATAGGAAATATTTTATGGTTACATATAAATTTGAAAACCACTGTGCTACATGGCAAGTAAAAGATATTTTTTAAGCTAAAGGTAATTCAGATTACTAAATAGCTTTTCCTTGCATGCGCCACAATTAACTACCAGGAAGAAAAGAATAGCCATCCCTCATCTTCTTTTAAAACCTTTGCAAACAAACTGCATTTTCTCCCAATCGTTTTTGAAGCATATATATGACTTTTTTTTTGTTTTAAAAATTAATGACCCAAAATATACATCTCGCATTGTAACTCTTGTGTATTATGAACTTTTTCTTTGTTTATTGCTTGAAACCATAACTTCATAACTTTTTTTTAAAAGATTTATTTATGCATACAAGAGCTGGGGAACAGGCCAGAGGTGTGGGGGGTGAGAGGATTCACCAGAGACAGAGTGAGGAACAGAAAAGGCAGATTGACCGAAGTACATTGCTGAGGGGAGCAGCAGGTGAGTCAGGAGAGGTCTGCTGCGCCACATGGGTTGCTCCCTGGCCAGCTGGGGATCGAACTCGTGCTGCAGTGGCTGCAGACAACTTCACAGGTCACCACCAGGGAGGCCCAACTTCATAACTCTTAATGCCAGCATAATACTAAATTATATTGTTGAATCACACTGAGTTTAAACAAAGCTCTGTTGTGTAGCATGTAGCTTTGGCATTCCTTCTGTTTTTCTTTTTTTTTTTTTGCTATCAATTCATTATGGTTAAATCCTTATTTGTGGCCCTAATACTTTCCTGTTGTAAATTCCGGCAGCGTAATAAGAAGAACAAAAGGCATTACCACCTTTAAAATTATCAGATGATCATAAGTCCAGGAAGAAAACTAAAGCCAGATGCAGGGCATGAAGGGGGCTTGCTATATTAGACAAGTTTGTTAAGTCAGACTCTCTGACGAAGTAACATTTGATCTGAATGAAAGAATGAAAAGTGGGATTGAATCTGGGGATACCTGTAGGAACGCTCTTCCAGGAGGAGGAATCAGGAAGTGTTCTGGCCCTGAGGTAGAACTTGCTTTGAACTTTCTGGGACTGGAAGGAGTTTAGTAGGGCTGGAGTACAGTGACCAGGGGCAACCTGGAAGGGCTTGCGGGGTTGTTCTAAGTGGGATTTGAATCCATTGAAGGATTTTGAGCTAGAAAGTAGCATGATCTGATCCCCTTGTGAATGATCAACTGCAGTGCAAGAATAGAAGCACTGACAGTTAACAGGCAATTGTGAAGTTCCAAGAAAGGAGATAATGGTAGAGTAGTAATCGCAGAATTGCCCCATGTTCTATAAGGTCAGCAAGAACTAAACAACCACAGGAAGAAAACTCTGTGTGTGTGTGTGTGTGTGTATATGTGTGTATACACATATATATATATACACATATATACACATATATACATATATATACATATATACATATGTATATATACATAAATATGTGTGTATAATTTTAATCCTTGCTATTTTGGTGGGAAAACTTCATTTTATTATTAATTTTTTATGATTAGTGGTGTAGAATATTCAAATGTTTAATTGCATATATTCCTTTTTTTCTTCAACAAATTCTATATTCAACTTTATGCCATATTACCTAGGATGGAATATTATAATCCATTTACATGGGAGGTTGAGCTATTCAGATTATTTTTCAGATCACGGTATTATCAACTTTGTATCTATTAACTTCATAACAAGTATTTTCCCAATTTGTTGGCCACTTAATTTTGTGTATGAATTCATTTTATTTAAGTTTTCTATTTAAAACTTGTACTTGGTGATTGTGGCTTTAATTTCCTCTGGGCCTAGATTCTATGAGGAATGTTCTTTCTGATTTCCAGGTGCTGGGGCATCCTCGGTTTCTGTCTCCAGGACACTGTCCTCAGGGCTCTTTCTGACTCTCTGTTCTTTAGGAATAATTTACTTATGAACTGGGGCTAGACTTCCCTGCTTCCTGACCAGCTGTTTGGGAGGTGGGGAGGGGGTTGTATGAAAAAGAAGACAACTGAAGTTGAGACATAAGGAAACAGTTTTCTAGATGCTAAAAATAGCAAGAGTAAGGAACTAATCACTTGAAAAACAGGCCAATTTACATTCTGAATTTCTGAAAGGGTGGGGTTGTTGTCCATTCCTACTTTAAGCAGATACTTTGTTCTTTCTGGTGAATTAGTAGTGATAGTAATTTTGAAAATTCAATGCTATTGGCTCTATAATAAGCATTTATCCCAGATATTGGTAACAGTGCTACTCCCAGATCTTTCTTTGTTTCCATATTATCCATTAAAATGTAAGATGCATAAAAGAAGAAATAAAGATGATTTTGTTCATCTCTCCTTTCCCAGCTCTCTGAATAATCTCTGACATTCAATAAATATTAGAGTATTTTCCATGTGACTAAATGGATGAGTGAAATGGGCAATGTTAGGGGGGAATCTAGGATATTTTGTCCTAGACTGGTGGTCAGTGCGTTATAAAATTCTCTGGTGTCCTGCTTTGTCAGAACAGTGTTTTTGTCTGTGGGTAACTATTAGGACTATTAGTGGTACTAACATACTAGAGGGTAGTGAGGCCTTAAGGGAATCAAGGGGCCCCATGTCAGGCCTGCTATCTCCCCGCTCTGCTCCACAGAGCATTTTCAGCTCTTGATGTGTTAAAGCACTTCCCACATCTCCTCTCCTGGCATCCTTGTCTTTCCTGAAATTGACTTCTTCTAGGGTAGATTTTAGATGACTAACGAATTTTGGTAGTCCAAACTTGCGGCAATGGGGTGGCACTTGGGTAAATATCCAAGGTCATTATAGGTTTCCTTTCTGATACATCCCTTTATAATAGAGACCAACAAATCCTTATTAAACTGTATGGTTACATAACAGATGTCACTTGTTTATTGTGATAAATTAGAATTCTTTAGATTTAAACATGCAATGAGGCATTTTATTCTAAAGCCAACTTTCAGTTATCTGTGCTAATGGTAGGAGTAGTGTGATGAAAGTCCCCGTTATGGGTATGCTCCTGTGTGGTGAGATCTCTTTGTTGCAGTCCCTGTCATTGATTTCTTTTTTTTTAAAGACATTTATTTATGCATACAAGAAATGGGGTACAGGCCAGAGATGCAGGGGGGTGAGAGGATTCACCAGACAAAGCGGGGAGCAAAACAGGCAGACTGACTGAAATACACTGCTGAGGGGAGCAGCAGGCAAGACAGGAGAGGTCTGCTGCTCCATGTGTGTAGCTCCCTGCCCGGGGATTGAACTCATGCTGCAGAGGCTGCAGATTGCTTTTTAGTGCTGTGCTTAACCCCTTGCACCACCAGGGAGGCCCCCTGGCATTGATTTCTGAATTGAATTAGGGTGTTTGTGTCTGTTAAATTACTGTGTTTAACAAATGTTGAGAAATAGAGCTAACTGGTTATCAGACAAGAGGTGTGCCAATATGGCACTAGAGATTGAAGATGTGTAGATGTAGATGCAAAAGACGAAGTAAGGAAGGGAAGTATGTAAAGTAGGGCAAAAACTGGCCTCTTTTGTGAAATAGGGGAACCAGAAGTATAGTATACCTCAACATGGGGAAGATGGTCATTTAGGGGCCAGAAGATTCCACCTGTGTCTTTTTCAAGTGGTCAAGGACAGGATTAGAATGAAAACAGAAAGAGGACAGGTTCTCCAGGAGCAAACCAGAGAAAACAAAACAGAGATGTAGTAACCTTCACTCAGAGAATATGAGAAGTTCACCCAGAAGAGAAGTTGGGGGCCTAACCCAGCCTATATGCCTGTTGAATCATTGAAAGAGTACATTAATTGAAAATAGATTTTCAAAGCCAGGGAACACTGAAATTTGAATTTATGTGTCTATGATTGCCCAAGTATGTATTACTTTGGCCTTTTATACATTCCGACACCTATTAAAAGTTATTTAAATGCAGTCATATTGACTTGAAACCTTGTTTGACAATGTACTATTCCCTCAGCACAAAGCAGAAGTTCTGCATGTATGTGTGGATTTTCTGAGCTCTATTTTGAACCAGTTATTGAAACATCATCACCATCAGAATTGTAAAAATGAATTATACTGAAATGACCTAATTGCAGTCACCTCTTTTCTATTGCATATTTAGAAAATGGGTCAATTCAGTAGGATGTTTGTGTTCTTTTCCTACCTCCAGTTTATTGACTTGTGTATCAATTTCCAGAATACATCAACGTTATTTAAAAAGAATGGGTTATGGAAAAAGAAAAAAGATCATTACTCTCTTGCTATGTTAGTTATGTTTCTCTCCCATACTCCAGAACTGCTTGCCTCCGAATAGCAGTTTTTTTTTTTTTTCTAATGACTTGTAAATATTCCTTTCTTCTTATAGGTAGAATGGCTGAAAAATGAAGAGCCCATTGACTCTGAACAGGATGAGAACATTGACACGAGGGCTGACCACAATCTCATTATCAGGCAGGCACGGCTCTCAGACTCAGGGAATTATACCTGCATGGCAGCCAACATCGTGGCCAAGAGGAGGAGTCTGTCTGCCACAGTGGTGGTTTATGGTAAGACCAGCCCAAAAGCCAAGAGTGGATGGGGAGGATGGAAAGCAGAGAAGTTGAGGGATGTGTATTTTATTAACGCTTCAACATTGCCAGCTGTAGGACCTGGGTAGTCATTCCCCACAGTGCTCTCCTGCCTTCCCCCATGTGGCAGGTGAGCACACATCCCTGTTGCTTTTAATGTGTTTGATTTTCCACTCAATATTGGACTTCTGTGAGATAGTCTGGTGACATTTCCAATCTCTCTCTCTTAAAAATAATTTAATAAGTTGTTTACTTTCTTCTGTTGTATTTATATTTAAAAAGAATTGAGGTGGGCAACTTGTGCATCCCACCCCTCACAAAACCAACATCAACCCCATCTTCCTAAGTCCTGCTCTTGGTATTCCCTCTCCTTGCATAGAAATCCACCAAAAACAAACATTACTATTTGTTAATATCTCAGGTATTGTATAAAAGAAATCCCCAGCTATTTTGGTAAAGGCATCCCCTTCCACAATAGGAGGACCTTGGGAATTATTTTTGAAGCACTGAAAGTAATAGAAATTCATATGCTGATATTCTTTCTTTTTACGCTGGATTTTCAAGTGCTTTAGAGATATGTTGATGATTTCTTCCTGTTTTTTTTTAATAATTTCCCTGCAAAAAACAATCCTGTGTCCCTCCTAAAGCAAATGAGTAGACTGAGGCACAGAGATGAGGTAACCCCACTATTGCCTCACAATGAAGCAGCCAGTGGGGGTCCACATGGTCTTGGTCTCTTGGTCCCTGGATGCCCAACTCACAACACCTGGCACAGTGGCTTGCACATAGTAGGCAATCAGTAAAAACCTCTCTCCTTTTTTTCTCCCCTCCCCATTTTTCTCTCTCAGTGAATGGAGGCTGGTCTTCCTGGACAGAGTGGTCAGCCTGCAATGTTCGCTGTGGTAGAGGATGGCAGAAACGTTCCCGGACCTGCACCAACCCAGCTCCTCTCAATGGTGGGGCCTTTTGTGAGGGAATGTCAGTGCAGAAAATAACCTGCACTTCTCTCTGTCCTGGTGAGATATATGTAGATTCCCTTTTCCCTTCTGATCCACCAACAGTATTAAGCTGGTGTGAAGCAATTAATATAGCCTTCCTTCCCAAAGTTACCCTCTCCCCAGTGCTTAGAATGGGACCTTTGTCCAAAATGCTAATAATCAATAGCAAAGTGGGTGAAAAAAAACCTCTGTGCAGTGTTCGTGGGCATATTTTTTTTTTTTTGGTCATATACGGATGACCCTGGACACTCACCATCAATATACCAAATGCTTCAAAATAGTTTTATACTCCCAGTGTTTGGTTGGGCTGAGTCATTCCCTTCTCTCCTTGGGTTCTCCCATGTTGTGACATTCATTGGTACAATATCTAGCAGGGATGAAGTGAGTTGTCTATGAGCACATAGCAGGTACCAAAAATCCGACCCTTTCTTCTCAATTATCAGTCAACTAACATTTCCATCTCTAGCTTCGTATTTATTTTCAATACAATTTTCAGAGATTGTATAGTACCACAGCAGTTTATATTTCACATTTGGTTTATGCTTGCTTCCCTTTATGGATAGATGCATTTACCAAATATGTTTTTTTTTTTTAAGTTCTAAAACTGACTTTAAAGCAATTTATACAATGGGAAATGGATGAGTTCGGAGATGACTTTATTTATGGAAAGCATATCCTCCCATGGTGAAATAAATTGATCCTGGGTCTCATGCAGTATAAAATTTTAACTCCAAGGACACTGAGCTTGAGCCTTGTGTCTTTAAAATTTTGACTATATTTCCACACAAATTAAGGTGAGGTTCTCAGCAGCAGCATATTCTTGGAATTCCATTTTGAACTTGTATTTTTCAAACATTTATTGAGTGCCTACTATGTGCCAGGTACTGTGCAAAGTTCTAACACATGTGTGATGTCACTTAAGTCTGTGTTGTGAGTTGTTATTATCCCTTGGCTGAAATGGTAAAGTGAAGCTAAGTGACTTACCCGGGGTTGCTCAGCCAATAAGTTCACAGAAGCAAAACAAGGACTCAGACATTTTGCTTCAAATTCATTCATTTTGATACTGCCCTATTCTTGACTAATTGCTCTAGATTAAAAATTGAAATATCTTAAATAACCCACTTATGCATGGTTGGACTATTCCTCGGAGGTAATGGGACAATTGCCTCAAACATCTGCCATAATCTCTAGGGTTGACTTTTTTTAGTGGAATTAAATTCAGTTTGTTCATTTCTATACACAGCAGCAATCCATGACCCAAGAAATTCTATTTATGTAAGTCTTGGTATCTTGGGGTTTGAATGACCTGTTTTAGCTTAATACTATCAATATATATGGGTTTAACTTTTTATTGTTTAGGGGCTTTAGGGCTTAAAGATAGTTCATTCTACTCTCTGTTCTAACTGTCAACCCACAAAGAAGTGGTGATTACCAATGGTTACTGCATGTAGTTTATCTGTCCATCTAAGATGCACTTGGGCATGAAAGACTGGGAAAGAATGAATAATGACATTATTAGCCGACCCAGGGGCACTGGTAATTCAAATGCTTGCCTAAATTCAGTAATTGGGCTCATCCTGAAATAGCAAGAGAATTATACCACTGTTTTTGTTAGCTAATTTCTTTAGGAAAGAAACCTTGGAGAGAAGATAAATGAATATGATTTTATTTTTGTTGTGATGGTGATTTCTTTAAAATCCAGCTCTAAGAACAGCAGTCCTGGGGTGAATCTCCTGACAGCTCTCTAGTTCATTCTAATGATGGTTCCTCTTGTTTTCTTTTGAAGTGGATGGGAGCTGGGAAGTATGGAGTGAATGGTCGGTCTGCAGTCCAGAGTGTGAGCACTTGAGGATCCGAGAGTGCACCGCCCCGCCCCCGCGAAACGGGGGCAAATTCTGTGAAGGTCTAAGCCAAGAATCCGAAAACTGCACAGATGGACTCTGCATTCTAGGTAACACCTTCTGTGTCTTTCCATAATCTGAAAAGAAATGTGGCCATTCATTTGGTTAAATAAGTTAAAGGAAAATCACCAAAAGCAAAATGAAAAACATGGAAAAGTAGACAAGTACATTTTTTAAGTAGAGGTGGAGTTACGTTAAATATTTACTCAAAAAAAATAAATATTTGCTCATGGTAATTTCCATTTTGTGTATACATCTATATAATCTTACCTAACCAGGTAAGATTTTGAAATTAAACAAAATGTTTAAGGCTTTTTAGCTTAGCAATTCTTTTTTAATAGCCACCATTTATAGTTTGGTGAAACTGTGAGATGTTTAACCATATGCTGATTTTTCTCCCAAGAATTTTGTAGCATTATGAAACATTTTAACAATTTTCTGGGGCAAGGGCATGTATGGTGACTATTATCTTGTAAGTGGGGGTACAAGAAAGATACCTTCATGCCTTTGCATGAAGTCAGTCTGGCTGAGCAGGAAATGGAGTGTTTTCATTTCAAAACTCTGGAACCTTTGCTTTATTCCTGAGATTACATCACTGCCATCTCCAGGTAAGTGCCACTGTACGAGAGGATCAAACAGTGACATTAAGCTTCAATTTGGTGTTATCCTCTTGCTAACTTTGTGTTACTAAATAAGTAATTAGCTGCTTAACTTCTCTGACCGTAAGTAGAAATGATGTGGTTTATTCATGGTTATATTGTCAAAAAATCACGAACAAGCATATTTGAATATTCCATGATACAGAGTAGGCACTCTCTAAAGATTAATCCCATTCAGGTAAGCTAAGGTGCATTGATTTTGACTAGATCCTTAAAAAATAGGATATGCAGGGCATATTTATTCTGTAGAACTAGGTTGCCTATTGGAAAACATTCAATGCAAATAATGTAGCTCAATAGTTTGTTGCTTTTTATTTGGGAAGATGACAATATTAAGGCAGTAATCGAAGTTGAATGTATTTTTTCTGCAACAGTATGTGTGCCCTTAAAAGCAAGTATATCAAACATGCTAATTGCTGAATTTTCAAAATAAATTTACATGATGAATACATGAAATAAGGCATCTGCTAATGCCTTTATTTGCTCAATAGAATTACTCTTATCCTGTTGAAATCAAATATAAGGGACTGTAATAGAAGACAACCTAGCTACCACTTTCAGATGAAAGGACTGTGCCTCCTAATAATTATATTCTAACTATTTGTCTTTCTCCTTCCAAATAGTAGAGAAACTTAAACCTCTGCTATTGATTTTGTGTTAAGGATATGCACTTCTGACCATCCTTGACTATCAGAGTTTTCTTAATTATGATTTTTTTTTTGATAGTTAGAACTGTGAATTTGATACCTTCCAGTGAGCCATTGACAATATACTTTGCTTCTGGTTGAATTTTAGACAATCATAGTAATAACCTTCTCTATCAACCACCAATTAGATTTGCACTTAGGGAAAATCTGTGATTCTTGAAGACAATCATAATCATGTATTTGATAGTGATTCTTTGAGATAACAGGCATTCGTCAGTTGAGTAAAAAAGATTATTTAGAGGTGAAAAATATTCATCACTGAGAATGTGCTGTACAGTCTAGAACCAAATTCTAAAAATCTGAGATGCTATTAGGCAGGATTCTCCAAAGAAATAACAAAAGCAGTAGGATGCATGTGTGTACATGTATACCACACAGCTATATAAAAGAATTATTATAAGGTGTTGACTTAAGATTCTGACAAGTTGAAAACCTGCTGTACTTGATACCCCAGTTAAAAAAAAAAAAAAAAAAACTATTAGGAGAAGTCCCTCTTGCTTAGGGAGAGGCCGGTCTTCTACAGATAAGGCCCACCCACCCATACTATGGAGGCAAATCTGTTTTTCTCAGTCTGTCAATTTAAATGTCCATCTCATTCAAAAACACCCCCACAGAATCATGTTCTACCAAATATTTAAGCATTTGATGGCCCAGTCAGGTTGACTCATAAAAAATTAGTCATCACAGATACATAGGTGCTTGTGAAGTTTGGTTGCTTTAAGCAATTCATTGGCTTACCGAATGAACATCTCCTATGGGTGTTGACAATGTGTAGTTGTAGTCTCAGCCTGTGTAGTTTGATGAGTATTCTCTTTTCATTTTCCTGTAAACAATAAGGTTGAACACATTCTAAGCCATATTCACTGTTACATCCCTCACCACCACTCTGAGTTTAAAATGCTAAGTGAAACTTTTATGCAATTTATTCCTCTTCTATCCATTCCCCTATTCTCTCTTTTCTCTCTTCTAGTTAAAAGCCTCGGTCTTTCTAGCATTCTTTGCTTCCATAGTATACATATTCAAATGTCTGGCTTGATGGCTTCAGTGATAAAGCTTTGAGGGGAAAAAAAGCAGTATCTAATAAATTCACCTCTGTGATCTCAATCATGGGGAAGGTGTGTGTTTATAAGAACCCAACACCATGATGTATTCTGCCCTTTTAGACTAGAGTGGCTACCAATGTCAACAAAAATAACATTTTACCATCTTTGCAAGAAGCAGTGACCAGCAATCTAGTTAAATGATGCCAGTATCACTCTGTGGTTTGCTGTTGGAGTGCTCTTGGTGAAGCTAGCTGTGCTGTCAGGATACAACTCCAGTGAAGTCTGGACTTGATTAAAATAGCATTTGGTAACAGCTTTATGGAGCAGTAGCTTTGTGAAGGGTCTAGGTCATGTTACAGCTTGGGAATTTCCTTCATCCTAATAGTTTCCCTTTTCCCCAACTTCTCTTAGAGACTTAGCAATGACATTGCTTAGCTCTTGGATGACCTACAATTCAGGTTGTATTTAGCTTTCAACAAGGCATCTGAATTTCATTTGTTGCCCCCTGGCTTCATCTCTCCTATAGATGGAGCTGCTAGCTCTGAATGATCACTTTAATACTTCAGTGTGATGTTGCTTGGCTAGTTGTGACTACAGCAGAGAATCTGTGGTGTACTCTGTCAGAGATGACCACACCTAAATGCTCTCAACAAGAATATGAATGCCCTCAAGACTGGTAAGAGTAATATTAGGTAATTTTTGCCAAGACCAGTTAGTCCTGGTATCCGTATAGTAAGCATAGACATCCAATGCCTTTATGCTAGAACATGTGTATGCTAGAAAGATAATATGCTATGATCATATAGATACACATTTTTTAAACGTATATACCAGACATATAATTTTCTGGCCAATGTCCTTTCTCCTTGTTGAACTTAGCTGCCACAGTGCTCTGGGCATTGTGACCAAAGCTAAATAGCACACACATGCTACATCAACAGGAACAAAAGGGCAAAAATGGTGGCTATGTAGCTTGGTTCTGAGGAATATGTGAAGCCCCTGTTCTTTCTCCCTTTATTCCAGCAGATATAAAAACTAAGGGCTTTGGCTTGAGAAGATTAAATAGATCTGCTTCTGGGGGGATTAGTGCCTAGATGTGTAGTGAGACTAAAGCCAGAGAAATGCCAAGGGGCCTGAAAAAGAGAGGAAATCTTCAAGGCTGAGCTACCTGAGAGCTAATCCGTTCTTCTTGTCAAGATGTAAGATAGGTCAGTCCAACATTGACAGTTCAAAAACCAAAACACAGTAAAATAGTACTTTTTTTTTTTATCAATATACCCATCAGAAGTGAAAACAAAGTTTGAATTGACACTTCTGAATTGACACTTTAGAAACCGCATCAAGGATAAAGAAATCCCTGAGCTACAGCTAAATCTAGCCACATTGTCTATTGAATCATTTACTTCAATGACCTAAAGGAAGCACCTGAAAAGGTGAACCTGTAATCTTATCAAAGTAAAGGTTGCCTTGTTAAGCATTTCTCCTGGATCCTCTAAGCCTCATTATCCATTACAATAATTACCAGGGTCCCTTTCCTGTCTTCCCCCAGGGTGAGTAAAAGGATTTTCATTCTGGCGTAGGCTCAATAAAAGTCGTACTTTTTTTGCTGGTAGTTTACAGAATGCCTATTTTACATTTAGCGTTATAATGGATGGATGTCCCTTTACCAAAACAAAAATACATCATTTCCTTTCTTTGGTGAGAATCAGGAATCATACGTGACTCATTCTTAAACTTTTTGTTGGATAAGTTCACCTTTCAGAGCCAGCTGCACTGCACAATTGCATAAATATACTAAGGTATATAGCATAGCAAAGATCTGAAAATGACATCAGCAAGATAAAATGCTCGTACAATGCATCCTTAAATTGTCTGTCAGGAAGTCTCCTCCTGCTTGCTAATATTCCCTAATAGAGTTAATATTAAAACCCACTTAATTATATTCTATTTACAGGAGCACCTACTATATACTATGGACATAAAGATTTTCCTACAGATACCTGATAGTTGCCTTTCTGCATAACAATTGATTAATTCAGAGTTGCCTTCCTGTACACCACATAGCAAATGTGAATATTGCAGGCCCACAGGAGTAATAAGAATGTAGATAGATTTGGATACATATGGTGTCATTAACAGCTTAACAATGATCTCTCCCCCATGCCCCAGTAAGCATTTTCCCAATTTAAGACCAGTGAGTAACAAGCTTTAAAGAGACGAGGTAAAAGGGTTCACTTCGAAGATTCCATTGTGCTTAATTAAAAACAACAACAAAAAGTATCTTAGTGAAAGCACAGTTCTACAAAGCTTTAACTGTCATTTTTGTGCCTTGTGATAAGGCTTCATTTGAGTGCTGTATCATGAGTGGAACTGAGCATAAAGAGGATAAAGACCATAAAATTTCTCCCCTTTGTTATTCAGCCTCTATAGACTTCTCAACTTTTATGCCTTGTTAATAAGATAAAAACATCTGATTGTCTTTTCAACATAATCCCTCTTTCAAATGAGCATTGGCCTTCATCCAAAGGCACATGATAGATATGTATTTCCTAAGCCATTAAAAATATGTGCCTCTCTTATCAACCAGCTCAGAAACATACATTTTGCCATCCAGGAAATTTTCTATCACCATCTTCTCTATTTCCTCATGGACCTGTGCATAGTTGTAACAGAGTAATCTCGGTAAAATCCTTCCTCACTTAGAGAAATCAAGGCAGTTATTCTACCTGTTTTTCTCTTCCATCCATTGTTTCCTTCTCCTCTTCTCTCCTCCCCCTACATATTTCAACATGTACTTTTACAATCTGCTTACATTCTGTCAGTGAAATTGGACAGGAAGTACTATGTTGTGCTTTAGAAACATGATCTCTGGAAGATTGTTTATCTCCAGCACATCTTGTTAACTTGGTTCATTTTGTGAGAGGAATTGAAATAAAACACCTCCACTGTAAATAGGAGGGACTTTGAAATTAAATTTGGGCAGCTGGAGAGCAGGATACATTACCACCACATCCCATTACTTTAGCAAGAGAGGAAACAATACCCCAGGAAAACTAAACAAACAGATTTTTAAAACATTTCTTAAGCAAGTGAAATTTTAGCCATTGCAAAGAAGAAATATTTTGTAAATGTCATTCCCAGGAAGCACAGAGAAGGCAACCATTTTGAACTGAGAGTTGTCACTTGGTACAGAGATTGAACTTCCAGGAGCCCTGGTCAAGATGGGCCTGGGTTGATTTGGCATCAGAGTTGAAATGGTTTATTGTTGTTTTGAAAGATTAGAAATGGACATGAGCCTAGCACTGAGAGACTATAGGATTTGAACATTTATCCCATAGCTAAAGAGCAGGTTATCAGGCCTCTGGGGTCACATGGCACAAGTTTGAGTTTTGATTGCAAGTTTCTTAATTAGTTTGCCTCTAAAATAAGTTTTCTAGGGATCTTTTTGAGAAAGAAATGAGAGAATCCACTTAACATTCATGGTAAGCACTGCATTTGTATAAATAAATTTTGTGTATTCTAGTGAAGGGATTCCTGTGGCCAAACAAAAGGTGTATTCTGTGCCTGCAAAAGTATTAACAGGATAATATTTTAGATAGTTTGCTAAAACATACTCTAATATACTATGCCTAATGAAGTAAAATGCGTTTGTTACTAAAATTCATAAAAGACACAAATTGCATTCTTAATGCAAACCAGTTCTGAGCAGAAATCTGAGATATGCCAACTATTGTAGAAAAACAGTTTAGGAGGACCCTAACAATTCATGAGGTTTTGTAAACTCTATCTGAGCAAAGTATCAGTACCTTTTCCCGGAACTCCTGATTAATGGAATGAGCCACTCTTGATTTTTCCCAACTTCCTTTGTAGCAGGAATTTGGTCCTGAGAAGGAGACACAACAAAGTCATCCATATGGTCACTACCAGTTCCAGAATTCTATGATTCTAGCCACTAGTTGAATGTAATTCAATGGGATGATCCAGGAGACATGCCCTCACAACACTGAGAACAGGATCCATCCCTCCTTTTATAAAATGAACACATTCCGAAGACCTCATCAGAACATGTAATATTTATAAAGCAAATATAATTTGTCAACACGAACTCAAACATCTTTTCTCACTGAAAAAGAAATCCAGCATTCACACGACTGGACGACAGAGCAGTTGGTAGAGCTGAGGCTTGCCCGTCTGCACCCAGCTTCCCGGACGGATGGTGTTTGTGACCTGCCTGGCACTTCCCTTTCTCCACACCCCCAGAGTAGCCCTTCTGCCTTTAATTTTTTATGGTTAATAGATTTGGCTGTAATTACCCACATGTTCCTTCCAAGGTGTCTTCTAGTCAAGTAGTTTCCCATATTTAGGCTTCCTGTCATATAAAACAAACTATCCCCATTTCATTAGCCCTGTGAATTCCAAATTCTACTTCTGCAGTATATTTAATCAGGATTCCACAGTACAAAACCCTGGGCATGAAATATTAGTCTGGACTAGAAAAAGATTTAATGTCTGAGATCATAGAGTGGTCCAGCTATAAAAGAAATGGCAAGAACCCAATCAGGGAAGTGATTTAAAACTGAGTAATCTACTCCAGGACAAAATTCAGTGGCCTCTGGGGTGTGCTGAACTAAGAGAATTAATAGAGATAGAGAAAACTTCTTTGTTTTGATTATACCTTTTTTCCCTTAAATTACAATTGAAATACATGTGTCTTTTCAAGAGCATTGAGAAAGGTGATATATAAAATGAAGATGTTAACATCATCAGTGGCATTAGCATTAACCCTGGCCTTACCCTTTCTCCAGAGAAGTGTCAGTATTAGAAAAAGAAAAGACCTGGCCTTGTGTACATGTGTTTGGTAGAGGACAATGTTAGTGTTCAATGGAATGGAAAATTGCCATGATCATTTAGAAGGATATCATGGTGTGGTAGAAAGGGTTCTGAACCAGAAGTCTCAGGCTTTATTTAGTTCAGGTGTTTCATTAATTAGCATGTGACCTTGAGCAAAGCTCTCTGGAGCCTGTGCTTCATGGCCATATCCATAAAAGCGTGATGGTGTAAGCTTCATTGCAGTAAAACAAGTTGAAATCATTTTAACTTTACATCTTAAGTGTAGCTCATATGTGTATGCTTCTTTATGTGTATACTTATGCATTTTATACATTATATAAATACTTAATATCACTGGTATTTTCTCAAGGCCTGAAGGAAGAGACTAATGAAGTGATGTTATTCAAGGTCCTGTTACATATATATACACATATAAAATATGAAAATACGACTAATAGCAGTGCTTTTGGAATTTAGCCTATTTGAATAATTGTAATACATTCACACCTAAAATTAAACCATTTAGATGATTTTTGTGCAGAAGGGAGGGGGACAACTTTTAGATATGAAACAAATGCAACCCCCAAACATATGCTACGCCAAGAAAGCTGGTTTCCAGACTCACCTTGGAACTAAGTCAACAAATCAGGCATCTAGTATTCACTCCAGTCCCTTCACTGAGAAGCCACAGCATTCTGGGGATTCATACAGAACATAGGAAGTTTATGAACCCTGACTTTATAATGCTTGTAATTGAAATTACATACAAGGCTTAGCAGCACTGATTCATTCAACAGATATTTATCGAATACTTACTGTATATTCCATTTACTATTCTAGATACTGAGGATTGGTAGAGAACACATATATAGACTATGTTCAATTACCTTAGATAAATTTCTGCCTAACCTGATAACTAAAGGTTAAAAAAAAAAAAAAATCTTACAATCAAGGGATCATAATCTTTCTCTTTAGACAGTTGGTTATTTTTGTTGTTTTTTTTTTTTTTTTTTGCATGTGTAAGACAGGACTGATAACCTTACTATACTATATCAGTTGCTAAGTGCTCAGTAAACTTCATTATAATAATAATCATTACAAATCTCTCTACCTTATGCTTTATTATGAAACTGAAGGGACAACCCCGGAGACAGCAGGAAGCCACCAGCCTTTCTCAAGGCTGATGCTTACACTGATAGGATGTTTTTAAATAATTGCCTTAGGGTAAGGGAGGTGATAGTCATGACAGTAATGGATAGGATTATCCCTAAGCTTCAATTATAGACTTTGGATGTTTTTATTCAGTTTTGAACATGTGTGTGTGTATAATATGTACACACTATGTATTTCTATTGTGAATGGAAGAAAGGGAAGCAAAGCCAAATAATTCATAGGAGAAGAAAATCATTTGCATCTTTCCTTGAGCAGAGTTGCAAACATTGCATTTTATCAGTCTGAGGCCAGTTTCTGATAAGAAAGTCTTTGTAGGTACATGCTAACCGTGGTTTCTGTAAACCAAGGGCACATTTTACTTTGTGTAGTCATCATACAAACTAATACATATAGAACCAAAGGGAGCATACATAACAAAGATGACATGAAATCTAGAAATGGAAATGATTTTGCACAAAAATGAAATATGCAAATACCATTAGTGAGCATAGTTGTTATGGACAGTGAGTTTGTAGGAAATGCAGAGGACATTCCTAGGAGAAGATGTCAAATTTGAAAGAAGGAAAAGGTTGGGGGAGGGGGCGCGGGTTGAGTTGGTGGAGACTACAACTCCTAATGCACACTAAGCATGTGCTTTGGCTGAGGAGCAATCTGGAAGGTCATTGTCATCAGCAGTGATATCCATGGACCATCTGCTATAGAATCCATCTAATTTCTCCTAATTAACATGATGGGATCTTGAACAATTCATAGGTGAGAGATGTCAATTCAGTCTTAGAATTTCTCTAATTACTCAGATATCTCTGGGGAGACCAGTGATTTCTTGAACAGACATTAACAACTAGAAAACCCTAGGAGGAATCTCTACAAATGCCTTTTATGGACATGCTCAGAGCACATTTTAAGAGTCAATAGATCTTGTGATGGTCTATAGGATGGAAAGGGTTGGGGGGCAGGAAGCAAGAATTTAACACAATAACATGTGGGAGTAAATGTTTCTAAACTGTAATTTCTGAGAAGGGTCTTCTAAAAATCAGTGAGAATGCTAAGCTAAAAAGGCTAAAAAATTAGATATAGACCGTTTTATGTGTTTTGTTTTTTTGTGTGTATAATCATTGCGAGAATTTTAAGGTATATACTCTAAAGAGGTGATGGTTGTTTTTCTGCACGTTCTACTGTCTAAAAGGATGCATGTTTTATACCCAGAGAATAGAACAGACTCACCACTTGTCATCTTCAGTGTCTGCCTGACAGACACATCACAGTGGTGTTACCAATGCAAAGCAGGCTTCCTGTTTACCTAATTATCTGCCAGTGCTAATACAAGGCAGAGCTGCCAGGTCCTGGGATTTCTTACAGCCTTGGATAGCATTCAGCGGACAGAACACAGGTCCTTAATTATTTCTGGTTATGGAGAAGAAGGAAAGCAAGAATAAATGAAACACAGTAATTATCATTAACTTCAACTACTTTTCTAGCAATCAGTAAATAGTCAAGTAGATAGATTTCAATTTCATACCCTTCTCCCCCACTCCTGATTTCTGTGATTTTCTGGTTGTGGTGCCAATTATTTATGAATTAATCATTTAAATATGATTTACATGCTAGGGACCCATACTGACAGTGATAACAAAATATAAAATCAAATGAACACTTATGAAGTCATTAATTTGTGGAATGAAAATTTCTACATTGTATTTTTAATGGCTGGGGTAAAAATGAACTGTCCAGAGAAGGGAGAGATCCTTGCAAATGGAGTACTCACCAAAGATTTCATGAAGGAATAAGAAATTAGGTGTGCCTTGGAGACAGGACATTCTTATGCAGAAGGCTTATCCATTGGAGAAAGGCAACTGAAGGAAAGACTACAGCACAGGCAAAGGCACTGAGGTGAGCCTGGAGAGTTAATGGATTGTACTAGAATGCAAATTTGTCATATTTGATGTTGTGGTACCAGTTAATAGAAGATTGGAAAGACAGGCAGAGCAGTTGGCCATGACTCAGAGGTGATGGAAAATCGTGATAGATTACTTTGTGCTGATTCCATGAATAAGGAAATAGCAGAGAAAATTGACTATTCCTGAGACTTCAGAGTCAGCAATGAAGTAATTTAAGATTACAAAGAATGTAGAGGGTAAATAAAAATAAACAGCTACCATGTTTTTTTATTGGATGAAAAAGATTTCAAAGGATATACTCAATGAAGAGGGAAACAGTAATTGTCTTTGGAGGTAGAAATATAGAAAATGACTGGTTTTGTGCATAAAGAATGATAAACATGAACTCTTGTGACATGTTTGAGTAGCTGCCTGGGAGAAGAGCTGCTGATGGGGCTTACTGTCCTGGTGTCTTTCACTCCCTATTGAGTGGTTCCATGACTGAGTCCATGAATACCTATGGTATTCAACATAATTTCACCACCAAAATACTACTCTTAATGTTGTTATAAATACAAATCTAGGTATTCAACCTATGCATAGTATTCAAAACCCATAGGTCAAAGAGCAGCCCCTGTCCAATCAGTCTGTGGGTTGGAATAGAACCCACCTGTCCAGGTACCATCTCCTCAGACCCACTCTCTTCAAACCCAGCTTATGGGCTGTTTGCAGTTGGCCAAACTTGTTCCCTGGCAGAGAAAGGATAAGGCTGGATGTGGGTGGGTGGATGAGAGGGTAGGGGTGCAGCTATAAATAATGTCTAAGAACAATGGATACCATGGAAATGTTTTGGCAGCAAAGCATGTAACAAAGGAAGCAAAAAAATTAAAGGTAGAAAGGAAATGAATCACTACCAAAAGTAGAAAGATAGATTTCTTTCATGTAAATATATACCTCTATACACATAAATAGTGATAGCAATATTTGCAAAGACAAAAAGCAATTACTGTGGAACAATATATAAAAGACAACTCTGTATATTTTTATAGTAATGGATCATTTTTATCAATTTCATGGAGTTTCCTGCTTTTTATATATAAGCATATATGTGTACACATAATCTTACATATATAAAATCATGAAGGAGTGAAATCCTAGATTTGTATATATAACTTAACATTAAAAGTAGTATTTTGGTGGAAAATTATGTTTTTGTCTTTTCACTTACCTGTATATTGTTAATTTTGGGATTCAGTAGCTATTGTGTAGTAACTTTGTAAATAATAAGAATGATTTTAAAGGAAAATATAACTTGAGATGTTAAAACTTTGGAATTTTTAGCTTGTAACTGTAACACAGACTTAAGAGGAGTTTTTGTAATTACTTATCAATTTCCATTTACCCAGAAATTACCTCTCAGAGTCAAGTCAGACTGTGGGAAAGGAGTGTGATTTTTTTCCTACCTAAAACTCAGCTACCACTGGCAGCAAAATTTTATTCTGCTTTTTGCAGACTACAGGAGGGAAACATGTGGGCCTATTTGGATACCATAACTACCCCAAAGTATCTTAGGGGAGCAGACTGAGTTGAGGACACAGAGCCCCAGATTTGTTGCCAGGAAGTGGTGGTACCTTCATCAATCACAAAAATATATACCTCAATCAAGAGCTCTGGAGTGGTGCCCAGCATAGGTATATTCTTTTAAAACTCCTCAGGGGAGTCTAATCTGTAGCCGACATTAAGAACCAAGGTCATACTGGATCAATTTTGTAAGGGACCATTCACACAGTGTCAGAAGTAAAATGGAAAGTGAAGAGGACTTGGTTGCCCAAGGCCAAATGGATGTGTGACCCAGAGACTTGTGAGAAAATGATCCTGCCAACAGAATGGAAGAACATGGAGTGTAGGTGAGCATTCCTTGCAAAAGATAGTGAGGGTCGTGATCACCCTTTTTCTTGTGTATGTTAGAAAAAGCTCTGATCAAACATTTCAAGCTGGGGATATGCTCTGATAGCTGTTCGTTTTTAGGATACTGGTATTACCCAAAGGCCAATTTTGATGCTGATTCCAGGACACTTAATCTTTCTTCATCTCCATGAGAGGATTCACACTGACACACAAGATGTGCTGGGCTCAGCACAGCATCCTGTGGTGGAGCAGTGGACCCTGGAGTAGCATTTACTCTGCATTTAGGAAATTGTTTCAATCAGGTTTGTGTGGAATCCTGTGAGTGTTACTGTGTAGATTTATAGTGGGTGAGAGCTGAGGAGACCAAAGAGGTCTTCCAGTCCTTGCCCTTCTTTTTCCATTACCAGGAAGCTGAAGTTTTGACCTTTGCCCTTGGCCTCATAAAGCAGAGACCAGGAATGGACATGAGTTTAAGTCACATTCAAGTACCTTGAAATTCACTAGACTTTCTAATTTGGATTTGTGACATGTCTGCAAGCAATTGCGCAAAGTCTTTCTTTTACTCTAAAGAAGTATTATGATCATTTTCATATCATTTCAAAATTATAATATTGATTAGCTACCACTTATTGATGCTGAGCATGTGCTAGCCCTTCCCCACATGGCTTCACCTTTATCATCTGATTCTCAGTTCTAGTCTTCAAGGCTGTCATTTTTGCCCATTTTACTGTGGAGAACACTGAGGTCACCCTAATAGGATGAAACCTCTTAATATCTAAATCCGTCTCTAACCTTGAGAGGAGGCAATAATTCCATGGTGCCAAACCACCCACACAGATGACACTGGGAAGCCCGACATGCCCTCCTCTTTGTCTCGAGACTTTCGCTCCATTCATTCTTCAGAACTGTACACACTATAACTACCACCCTGAGATTTTCATTGCCTGGCTGTATTAGATTTATTTTTCAGGAGAGAAGTTATATCTCACCTGTTTTTAATGGATTTTCATTTTGCTACCCGGCGTAATCTTCATTCCTGTGCTTTAAAGGAAGAAAATGCTGTTCAGCTCAGCCGGCACTCCAAGCAGCTGTTCTGCATGTCTCTCTGTGTAGCTGTAGCAATGCATCACTTTCAGATGTCTTAGCCTAGCCTTGGCCTGCCAGCAATGTTGTGCCCATGCCAGACACTTTCAGATAGCATGCCATAAGCAAAAACTCAAGTTAAAATGACTTTAGTGGATTTAACCTAATTCTTCTGTGTATTAGCATCTGGACTTTGGGAAGTGCCACCTGCTCTCAGGGAAGCTTGTGGCACTGATTCTCTACCATAAGGAGAATCCAAGTGTCTGTTTTAAGAAAACTGTAAAAATCAGAATATGACTGTATCAACTTGAACAAATTATAATCTTTTATGAGGATTGTTCACTTTAAGATGTGCCAGAAATTACCCTTTGCCAGTTAACATTCCCCTTGTATTGAAAAAAGATGATAGCCCATTTGCCAGGGTGTGATTGACACAAAATAAATCAGGTGGTAAGGCACACAGGAGCTGAATTTAAAGCATACTGCAAGGGCTTTCTGTCAAAGTCAGTTCAAGTTCAGGAATGGGTTCAGGTCAGAGATAGTCCAGGATGTACTAGGAATATAGCAGGGTCTATCTACTTGCGAGGGGTAACAGTGTAGGCAGTCAGATAATATATAGGATGTTCCCAAATGTGTGCTGGGCTAGATTTGATTGAGTTAAAAACAATCCAAATGACAGTGTCTCACCCCTGCTGCCTCGCCCCCAGGCAGAGGGAGAAGAGAGCTGCACACCAACCTTTCAGCGCCCCCGCCCCCCACCCTTGTCCTCTGACACTGTACCTGACAAGGGCTAAGAGGGATGCAGCACCACATGATTTGTCTGGACCCTTAACATGGTGTCTTCGGGTGTCTGATTTATACTGGATTGGGGCTGAGGCAGGGGAGTGGGGAATAGAGGGAGTTAGTGTACAATGAAGTAGGACACAGGTGACAAGTCTTGTAGTGATTTGCAAGATATTTGGTGATGCGGTAGGGGAGGGCAGATGGAGGGCAATGGAAGAATTGATAAAAAAAAAAGCCCACCTGACTCCTATGACTCTGCTTGCCTGAGGATCTTTTCTATTTCTCCACCTCCTCTGACCACTGCATTGCTAAATACTATGATTATAAAATGACACCTCACACTGTATAATTTCATTCATATGTGTGTGGTACATAAAAAAGCAAAACAAATGAGCTACATGCAACTAAAATTCTTAAACTATAAGACTATAGTTGTTCTCAGAAGGGAAGGGGACAGGAGATAGGTAAGTGAGGTAAAAGGTGTCCATTGTGTGGTGAAGGGTGGAGCTAGACTTTTAAAGGTGAATTTAATGTAGAATATACACACACAGAGTGCTTTATAACAATGCACTCCTGAAACATATGTTCTAATGCAGTGTTACTTCAATACAAAATGAAATACAACCTTAAATTAAGTGATAATTTTTCATTAAGAGCAGTCAGATACATTTTAACAGATAATAGATTTGTGAAACAAAATAATGATAATACCAACCTCCAACACACAATACAGCCCCCATACTCAATAAGAATGGATTTACCATTTGGAATAGTTTGAAACTTTTACTGAGATCATGAGAACTGGAAACCAATGCAGGATCCCTTTAAATATTTATTCAGGAGTTCATTTTTCTATCCTATATAGTGAAATAGCATCTCTTACCTGTGCAGTCTTCTGGCTGTAGATATATAAAAAGGCACGCTATAGGCTCACTGCTCCCAGCATGCTGATACGAATCTAGCAAATACAGCAGAAGCTCTGGGAAGCCTGAGGGAAAAGGAAAAGGGGGGGAGTGAAAATATTCAAGAGAAAATATTTCAAGAGGAAAAAACATTAGCATGAAAAGGAAGACTATGGACTATGTAGTCCATATCGCCTGAGAAAACGTTTCCTTTACAGAGGTAGACATGAAGTGATGTAGGAAATATATCTGCTCCATGTAAATTTATTAAATGCAACTTTTTTTTTCTCTTTCTTTCTTTTAGATAAAAAACCTCTTCATGAGATAAAACCCCAAAGTAAGTTATTTTTCCTCTTGTGCCTATCATTTACTCTCATATTTGCTGCCTTACTGTTGTATTTGTTTAGGAGCTGAACAGCATTGAAGTTTCTTTGAAAGACCCAGGCTGTTTGGGGGCTCTCCTCATTGGGTTTGGAGTCACATATCAGATTTAAATCCAAACGACATATGCACACCCCTCCTTTCCCTCTGAGTAAAAGTAAATCTATCTTCTTGATTTTGCCTGCCTAAAGGTCCATTTCTCTACAAAAATCGAGGATTCTTCTGAGGAGATTTATAGTGTTAAAATTAATAAATATTTGTCAGTACCTGCATGCGTGTGAGCAGCCTTGGGCAGAGCCCGACTCCATGCTAAGAGGAGGAGGAGGGACGCTTGAGATGCAAACCGTGGTAACTGGGTAGGTTAGAAATGAGCGTTACCCACTGAGCTGCATTGCAGACTGAAAATGTTGGCATCTTTCTGGCTTGAGATATCTCTACACAGCCTTGCTCTCTGGGGAGGCCTTGACATAATCCCTCTGCATCCGGTAGTTGTGTGGAAAGGGGCAGTTTTAATGGCTGGCAGCTCAGCTTTGGCCACTGTGGTTGTCAACCTTGGCTGAACTTTAGAGTCACCTAAAGGCCTTTTGAAAATCTCAATTCCCAGACCAGTGAAATCAGAATGGGGTGAGGGTGGGGGGGGGGTGAGGTTAGAATCCAGACAGCCCTAATTTAAAGCTTTTTAAAAACACCAGATTTATCAAAGTATATCATGCATCATCTTTTATTAACTTACATATAATACAGTTGGATGAGTTTTCACCAATACTGTCTTGAAACCATCTCCACAGTCTAGATAAAATATTTGCATCACCCTGAAACATTCCTACAGGGATCCCTATTTTTAAAACTTCTCAAGTAATTCCAATGTTCAACTTGTATCAAAAACCAGTGTCTGAGAAAAATGTTTCTCCAAAGGTGGACCAAAGACCACAAACCTCAGGATCTTGGGATGGGGGTGCTTATAAAATATGCCCCATTTCAGAATCCCTGGCAGGGGAAGGACTCCAGAAAACCTACATTTTAGTATGTTCCCCTATTGAACAATTAGCTGTGAACTTAATGTAGTTTATATGCACATATTGATTCTCAATGAGGCACACCTGAAACTTATGTGATGTTATAATGCAATGTTACTTCAATTAAAAAGATATGTCCCCCAAATGATTCTCAAGCACTCAGAAATATGTAAATCGTGTAAGGGAAACATTGAGATAGAAAGTGCCAGCAATTGCAACTCTAAGCTGTAAGAGGTTTGGACAGCTGCCTGGCTGGTTTTGTTTGTAAAACTTGTGGGAAATGCCCCTTGTCTGTGTCTTCCATTTTAGTATCAAATGAATGGCTTTTGATCTTTTAAATCCTAGGGTATTACAACTCATATCTTGGGAGAGGTCACAGTTCTTGTTAGCCACCTTCTTTGAAAAAATTAAGACCTTGTGAGGAAAGAGATAGCGTGGGAGAAAAGAGACATAAGAGAAAAAGCCAATATATGTATTATGTGCAGACTTGCTTCAGACAAGCATGAGATAAAAAATATCTTTACTTACAGTCCGAGAACTTTGCACAACAAAAAGCAAACTTTATGAGCAGCAACGAAATGAATCAGTGGTACTTAGATAACAGAGCTAAACTATCTAAGAAATCCCTCTGTTACCTAAGTAACATACTTGCTTTTGAATTCATAAGAATAACATACTTGCTTTTGAATTCATAAGATGGACAGTGGGGATGCCTGGGTGTGCATGTGTGTGTGTGTGTATGTGGGAATGTTGATACAGTTGAGTCACTGAGTATTTGCTTTGTGCCTGAGTCAAGATCTCAGGGTGATGGGTGACTTAAGTAGATGCTCAGCCTCCTCCTAGTCACAGACACCGTGCTGTTTCTGGGGTGGCCAATGGAAGAGTTACTAAGAAATGCCGGTGTGTTTTTTAAAAATTAATTTCACGCTTAGTTTGTGAGTCCTATGCCATTCTAATTTGGTTACATCTGTACTTCCAGCCGTAAACCCCACAGTAGCTATTGCTAGTCCTCAGGGACTCCTGAATTAGTTTTTGCTTGGGGTTCTCGCTCCTGAACACCATGCTTAATTGCTGGATACTGCAACGGAATCGCTTAAACTGTTTTAATTTGTGATTTCCTAAAAATAAAACCCTAACAGAATCAATGTGATTGCAAAAGGCTCCCAGAGGAATCCGATCGGGATTCTGTAAGCTGCATGGTTAGGAGTGCATTATACAAAAGCAGGCGGTGGTTGCTCAGTGAAAGAGGGGCTTAGTTTAAGACTACATGAATCATCACTGATGCAAAATCAAAGTCAATTATGAAGATAATTGAGAAACAACCTGTTCCTATATATAGTTGTACACATGATCCTCTGCAAGGCCTGGTGATGGAAAGCATCGCCGCGTGCCTCACTCGCTGTCCTTTGTGAGCAGGTGGGACACGGAGCCAGCTCCGAGTTTCAGGGAGGTGTCACAAGAAAGTGAAGCCTTAAGATATCTGTTGGCAAATCATAATGACAAACTGGGGAAAATATGTGCACTGCATAGCTCATGAAAGCACTTATTGTAAATGAGATAATTTAATCAATTACGTTTCCTAATGTACTAAACCGAATGTTTCATTTTCTGCTTCTGCACATCTTAAATTATCTTCAGGTGCTTTATGAGATTTAATCATAGTTAATAGAAACTTCATTACCATCAAATGTGCTTTCAATAAATGTTGTGTAACAATGTCAGGAGGTGCAGTAAAATATAGTAGGTTCTGAATGGCAAACACGCACCCCCAGAGTCAGACTGGAAAATGGTTACATTCAGACAATGAGATTACCTGGAGGCTTGGAGCTCAGGCTCTCTGATCGGTGAGGAGCTTCTGAGGAGGGGCTAGGTCAGCCAGTTCACCTTGAGGGTAAAAGGATTCAGCTTCCTCCTAGAAAGTAACTCAGAATTGCATATTCTCTCTCCTTCCTACATAGCATCTTTGTACTCAACAGAGATGAATGCCAAGTGTCAGTCCAGTTAATTGTCCCAGACTCCCAGACGTAGCTGACTCTAGAACTTTCATTACCAGTTGAATATCTTCCAATAACCTTAATCTCAACTTTTTCAAAATCAAATTCATCCTTATCTGCCCGTTCTTAATCCAGTCTCACATTTTCTTTAGTTCATTGAATACTATACCATTGATTTGATTTTCTGGGTCTGAAATCTGGGCAACCTCCTTGATCTCTTTATCTTCTTCCTCTATTCTCTTGTTCAACATGAACAAATCATTTCAATCTGATATTCTAGCACCTAGATAAATGTCAAGTTCATCAGCTTCTCTCCATCTTCATGTTACTTATACCCATCCCTCTATTCATCCAACAGCTATTTAATGAGTCCTTACCAAGTGTCCGGAAGTGTTTTAGGTGGTGGAACACTAAGTGAAACAGATAGACCTTTAAGGTAACAAAAATTATAGGTTTCTGTGAGGGGAGATGGAATTGAAGAATCCAAAAAACGTACAGTGCTCAGTGCCCTGGAGTTGGTGATAATTGAGAAAATAAATAGAGCAAGGTAAAGGGCTCAGGCAGAGTTGGAAGGAGCACTTCTTTTTTATGTAAGGTGTTCAATGAAGCTCTCTATTCAAGTGATGTTTAAGAAGAGACCCAAAGAAAAACAAGGAAACAAATACTCTGAACATCTGTGGGATAGTAATCTAGGCAGAGGGAACAGCAGGATGCCATGGCTGGGAGGGTGGGAGCTTCCTCAATGTCTCTGAGGTATAGCAAGGCAGTCAGCCTATCTGCAGGAGAGTAGCAACGGCAAGGGCCATACTAGCTGTAGTCAGGAATTGAAGTGAAGGGGGACACTGCCAAGTCTACTACAGGCCTTTATAGGGATTTTGACTCTGGAAAGCATGGGAGCCATTGAATTTTTTGTTCATAGTGACCTAATATTCACATGGTCTAATAATTTCAAACATAAATTCTACCTGTAAACATACAGGTAGCCAGAACACAAGCATAGAATCTTGTTACAATGATCCACTGTGACTATATATGACAATCTAGGCTATAACAACACATAGACTATTTTTTTTTTTTTTTTTTTTTTTTTTTTTTTTTAAATAGAGGCATGTTTATTTATTTATTAATTATATTTGTTTGTTTGTTTTTGTTTATACATGCACTGGGTACAGTCAGAAGCGCGGGAGGGTGAGAGAATTCACCAGAGCCAGAGTGGGGAGCAGAGCAGGCAGAAGGACTGAAGTACACTGCTGAGGGGAGCAGCGGGTGGCAGGAGAGGTCTGCGCACCATGTGGGATCCTCCTCCGGTGGCCGGGGAGCAGCCGGGGATCGAACCGGCGCCTCAGAGGCCGCGGGCAGCTTTGCAACCCAGCGCTCAACCGCTGCGCCACCGGGGAGGCCCCATAGACTATTATAATAAGCTAGATTTGTGATGATTGTGGCTTGAGCCAAGTAGATAGCATTACAAATGATGAAAATAGGCCCTATTCTGGTTATCTTTTGAAGGCAGAGTCAAAAGGATTTGCTAATGGCTTGGGTATAGAGTCTGAAAAGAAAACTTTTAGCAATGATTCTATAATTTTGGCTTTGCAATTAGAAGAATGGACTTGCTTTTGCTGATATGGGAGAAGTTTGGAAAGCAAATCTAGAGGAAAATTCAAGAATTCAGTATTACAAATGTTAAATTTGAGATACTTATTAAATATCTAACTAGAGGGGTTGAGTAGGCTGTTGAATATATGTGAATGGAGGCCAGTGGAGGGTTCTGACTGATGACAAATCTGCAGTTTGTCAGTGTCCAGAAAATATGTAAAGTCATTAGAGTGGAATGAGCTCACCAGATAATAGGCATAAATAGAGAAGAGATCTGAAGTTTGAACTTTGAAGGACATCAGCCTTTAAACATATGGGAGGCCAGAGATCACTACAGAGGAGATAGAAATATA